AACCGCACAACTACATGGAAACTGAACAACCTGCTCCTGAACGACTACTAGGTAAATAATGAAATTAAAACAGAAATAAAGATGTTCTTTGAAACCAATGAGAACAAAGACACAACGTACCAGAATCTCTGGAACACATTTAAAGCAGTGTGTACAGGGAAATTTATAGCACTAAATGTCCACAAGAGAAAGCAGGAAAGATCTAAAATCGACTACCCTAACATCACAATTAAAAGAACTAGAGAGAAGCAAGAGCAAACAAATTCAAAACCTAGCAGAAGGCAAGAAATAATTAAGATCAGAGCAGAACTGAAGGAGACAGAGACACAAAAAACCCTTTAAAAAAATCAATGAATCCAGGAGCTGGTTTTTCGAAAAGGTCAACAAAATTGATAGACTGCTAGCAAGGCTAGTAAAGAAGAAAAGAGAGAAGAATCAAATAGATGCAATAAACAGTGATAAAGGGGATATCACCACAGATCCCACAGAAATACCAACTATCATCAGATAATACTACAAACACCTCTATGCAAATAAACTAGAAAACCTAGAAGAAATGGATAAATTCCTGGACACACATACCGTCCCAAGACTAAACCAGGAAGAAGTTGAATCTCTGAATAGACCAATAACAGGCTCTGACATTGAGGCAATAATTAATAGCCTACCAACCAAAAAAAGTCCAGGACTAGATAGATTCACAGCTGAATTCTATCAGAGGTACAATGAGGAGCTGGTACCATTCCTTCTGAAACTATTCCAATCAATAGAAAAACAGGGAATCCTCCCTAACTCATTTTATGAAGCCAGCATCATCCTGATACCAAAACCTGGCAGAGACACAACAAAAAAAGAGAATTTTAGACCAATATCCCTGATGAACATCAATGCAAAATCCTCAATAAAATACTGGCAAACCGAATCCAGCAGCACACCAAAAAGCTTATCCACCATGATCAAGTGGGCTTCAATCCTGGGATGCAAGGCTGGTTCAACATATGGAAATCAATAAAGGTAATCCGTCACATAAACAGAACCAATGACAAAAACCACATGATTATCTCAATAGATGCAGAAAAGGCCTTTGACAAAATTCAACACTCTTTCATGCTAAAAACTCTCAATAAACTAGGTATTGATGGAATGTATCTCAAAATAATAAGAGCTATTTAAGACAAACCCACAGCCAATATCATACTGAATGGGCAAAAACTGGAATCCTTCCTTTTGAAAACTGGCATAAGACAGGGATGCCCTCTCTCACCACTCCTATTCAACATAGTGTTGGAAGTTCTGGCTAGGGAAATGAGGCAAGAGAAAGAAATAAAGAGTATTCAATTAGGAAAAGAGGAAGTCAAATTGTCCCTGTTTGCAGATGATGTGATTGTATATTTAGAAAACCCCACCGTCTCAGCCCAAAATCTCCTTAAGCTGATAAGAAACTTCAGTAAAGTCTCAGGATACAAAATCAATGTGCAAAAATCACAAGCACTCCTATACACCAATAACAGACAAACAGAGAGCCAAATCATGAGTAAACTCCCATTCACAATTACTACAAAGAGTATAAAATACCCAGGAATCCAACTTATAAGGGATGTGAAGGACCTCTTCAAGGAGAACTACAAACCACTGCTCAATGAAATAAAAGAGGACACAAACAAATGGAAGAACATTCCATGCTCATGGATAGGAAGAATCAATATCATGAAAATGGCCATACTACCCAAGGTAATTTATAGATTTAATGCCACCCCATCAAGCTACCAATGACTTTCTTCACAGAATTGGAAAAAACTACTTTGAAGTTCATATGGAACCAAAAAAGAGCCCACACTGCCAAGACAATCCTAAACAAAAAGAACAAAGCTGGAGGCATCACGCTACCTGACTTCAAACTATACTATAAGGCTACAGCAACCAAAACACCAAGCTACTGGTACCAAACAGAGAGAGAGACCAACGGAAAAGAACAGAGCCCTCGGAAATAATACCACACATCTACAACCATCTGATCTTTGACAAACCTGACAAAAACCAGAAATGGGGAAAAGACTCCCTATTTAATAAATGGTGCTGGGAAAACTAGCTAGCCATATGTAGAAAGCTGAAACTGGATCCCTTCTTTACACCTTATACAAAATTAATTCAAGATGGATTAAATACTTAAATGTTAGACCTAAAACCATAAAAACCCTAGAAGAAAACTTACGCAATACCATTTAGGACAAGGACTTCATGAGTAAAACACCAAAAGCAATAGCAACAAAAGCCAAAATAGACAAATGGGATCTAATTAAACTAAAGAGCTTCAGCACAGCAAAATAAACTACCATCAGAGTGAACAGGTAACCTACAGAATGGGAGAAAATTTTTGCAATCCACCCATCTGACAAACAGCTAATATCCAGAATCTACAAAGAACTTAAACAAATTTACAAGAAAAAAACAAATAATCCCATCAAAAAGTGGGCGAATGATATGAACCGACCTTTCTCAAATGGAGCCATTTATGCAGCCAACAGACACGTGAAAAAATGCTTATCATCACTGGTCATCAGAGAAATCCAAATCAAAACCACAATGAGATACCATCTCACACCAGTTAGAATGGCGATCATTAAAAAGTCAGGAAACAACAGATGCTGGAAAGGATGTGGAGAAATAGGAAAGTTTTTACACTGTTGGTGGAAGTGTAAATTAGTTCACCCATTGTGGAAGACAGTGTGGTGATTCCTCAAGGATCTAGAACTAGAAATACCATTTGACCCAGCAATCCCATTACTGGGTATATATCCAAAGGATTATAAATCACGCTACTATAAACACAAATGCACATGTATGTTTATTGCGGTACTGTTCATGATAGCAAAAACTTGGAACCAACCCAAATGTCCATCAATGACAGACTGGATTAAGAAAATGTGGCACATATACACCATGGAATACTATGCAGCCATAAAAAAGGATGAGTTCATATCCTTTGTAGGGACATAGATGAAGCTGGAAACCATCATCCTGAGCAAACTATCACAAGGACAGAAAAGCAAACACTGCATGTTCTCACTCATAGGTGGGAATTGAACAATGAGAACACTGGAACACAGGGCCGGGAACATCACACATGGGGGCCTGTCGTGGGGTGGGGGGCAGGGGGAGGGATAGCATTAGGAGATATACCTAACGTAAATGATGAGTTAATGGGTGCAGCAAACCAACATGGCACGTGTATATCTATGTAACAAACCTGCACGTTGTGCACATGTACCCTAGCACTTAAAGTATAATAATAATACAAAAGAACGCTTTCAAAGGAATAATAAAAAAAATAGTATGCTCAGAATATTCTCTTTTCTTGTTAAAAAAAAAAAAAAATCAATGCAGGCCAGGTGCAGTGGCTCATGCCTGTAATCCCAGCACTTTGGGAGACCGAGGCAGGCGGATCACGGGGTCAGGAGATAGAGGCCAACATGGTGAAACCCCGTCTCCACTAAAAATACAAAAATAAGCTGGGTGCCGCGGCGTTTGCCTGTAATCCCAGCTACTCAAGAAGCTGAGGCAGGAGAATTGCTTGAACCCAGGAGGCGGAGGTTGCAGTGAGCCGAGATTGTGCCACTGCACTCCAGTCTGGCGACAGAGCGAGACTCTGTCTCAAAAAAAAAGAAAGGAAAGGAAAGGAAAGGAAAGGAAAAAGGAAAGGGGAAAGGAAAGGGGAAAGGAAAGGAAAGGAGAAAGGAAAGGAAAGGAGAAGGGAAAGGAAAGGAGAAAGGAAAGGAAAGGAGAAAGGAAAGGAAAGGAGAAAGGAAAGGAAAGGAGAAAGGAAAGGAAAGGAAAGGAAAGGAAAGGAAAGGAAAGGAAAGGAAAGGAAAGGAAGAGAGAGAAAGAAATGCACATGTAAAGCAAGTCTTAAAGCACACTTGTTATCTGTGGAAGATAGAATTATGAAGGCGTTTTATAATATATTTTTGCTCAGATTTTTATGACACCTCATGTGTATTTATTTATTGCATTATCAGAAAATAAAGATAAAACCCTTAAAAAACAAAACAACCACAAGCAAAAACAAACAAAAAGTAAAATCACAGCATTCCAAGGGTAGCCCTCAACATAATGAAGACCGAATTTCCTAACAGTTGAATGGGAAAGGAACTTACGTTGGATATGAATTAGAAAAAAAGTAAAGATTTTCTCCTGCATACCAGTCTGCAGATTCATACACCCAAAGTTAATTTGTTGATATTTTAATCTACTTCTAATTACGAACTGTGTTTATTATGAGACTATCAAAAAAACTGCTTTCCATCAACATGCAGGTGTTTTCTTTGAAGGGGATTACAAATACGAAGGGATTGACACGTTCATATTTACTTAGCAAATAATGATCTAATCCCTGGGTCAACAGTGAAGCTGAGGAAGGAGAAGACTGTTTCTAGGTGATGGAAGGTTGTTAGGCAGGACTCAGTTGGATTCTAGGTTTCAGGGTGGGGACTACTGTACTGCCTTTTCAGTCAGGCGGATCCCAAAGAACTGCTGCCTGGACGGGAATGGGAATATGGTCTGGCTGGGAGGACAGAAAGCAGATGAAAGAAAGTGTGATATGGGTTGCAGACTCAGGGCCTTGAGCACTGTTCTTTCTCACCTTTGTGGTGGGGGATGACGGGGTGGAAATGCATTCTCCCAGTCGGATCACAAGCCACTACTCACCAGTCTTATATCCCGTCGCGGCTTCACATATATTATTTACCCGGCCTGTGTGGCATTTTACTTTGCATCCTTGCTTGGGAGTCTCAGGGGCTACGAAGAAACGTTTTACCCCCAGGTAGCCGGCGGGTGCGGAGGGAGTATTACTGGAGCGGGATAAGTGGGGATGTCGCTGCGCCCTCGTCCCTTGATCTGCGGGGGACGGCCATTCTCAGGGTTCCCGAGGAGCTGGCTCCGTGCACCTAGGCCCTAGGTCGGCTCCCAAGCCCCGGCCCGCCACTACACCAGCCACTTCTTACCCGCAGGTACAAATCTGACACAGACACCAGCTCCTCATGCTCTCGGCTCCAAGGGTTTCTTTCAGCTCGCCTCAGCACTTGCAGCTTCTTCACTCTTACAGCGCCCGCCGTAGTCAAGGCAACAGAGGGATGCCTGGTGACGGACGCGGCGCCGGCTTCCGGCGGCGGAAGGGACGCGTCAGTATGGGCGTGCACGACCCGCAGAGTTCTCCGCGTTCCGAAGCTCTTGGTGTGGCCGGGACCCGGGAGGAGGAACAGGGCTCGTGGGGTTGCTGCAGACGGTGATTACCGGCTCGCGTTAGGAACTGGCATCTTCCTCGGCCAGCCTCTGGGCGGTGCTGGAGGACCCCGCTCGCTGCGAGTCTGAGGCGGAAACCCGGGCTGGGGCCGAGCGCGGGCAGGGAGCGGCGGTCCCCGGAGGGCGGCTCCCAATCTGGGGTCAGGGCGTGGCCTCTCTGTGTGGACCCGGGATCCTCAAAGAGAACGAATCCGGGACCCTGCAGAAATGAAGGGCATGTAGTGTAGATGTTTTTCCTTTTTATTTAGAAAGGAATGAAAGACCGGCAGTGCACCTGCTTGGATAATAAGCACGCGACCCAAAACTTTGTTCGGGCTTGGTGGGCAGGAAAAAAGCTGGGTATTCGACCTCGCGCGAGGACTAGCGAGAATGTCAGAATGAGGGACTTGGGGGAAGACTGAAGAGAGAAAGGGAGCATCTTCTTCAGCATCTTGTCAGCCTCCTGCATGCAACCCTTCCTGTACGTGGCCATTGGCCTGGAGAAGTTTACCAGAGTTCTCCTCCACCGGCAGGGTTACTGGTGTCACTGTGCACCCAGCCCCTTCGAGCTGCGTGATTCATCGCAGCCTTCGGATCCAGAAGGATGAGCAAATTCCTCAATTATAATCGTAGTAGGATACTGACTTTAGTGCTTAGCCTGGAATTGGCTGAGGCATGAAATTGACTGATGGCTCAGAATAGTTGGCCTAGAATAATAGGCTGGCATTTCAGATCTGTGAGAAAAAGATGAACCCTTCAAATGGTTCTTGGGCAATTGGTTATCCATGTGGAAAAAAAAATTGGACCTCTACTTAATACCACACACAAATCAATTGCACAGTTAAAGTATTTATATTTAAAATCAAAACTGTAAAGCTTTTAGAAAATAATATAGGCTAATATTTTTATGACCTTAAAGGAAGATTTCTTAAGATAAAAACGTGCAATTTTATAAAAGGTTAATAAACTACTTAAAATTAAGAACATATTTATCAAAGATGCCAGAAAGAAATGGAAAAAAACAAGCCTGGTAACTGTGAAAAATATTAATAACACACATGTAATTGACAAAGGACTAGTATTCAGAGACTATAAATAACTTATCCTTAACAAAATAAATCTGTATTACAACCAGTAGAAAAGTGGACAAGAGCCTTGTATAGGCAGTTCACAAAAAAGGAATGTTAAATGGCCAATGCAAGAAACTTATAAAATACTTAATCCCATTAATAATAGGAGAAATGTAAATTAAAACCGTGAGATGCTCTTTATCACCCATCTTAAAAAATAAAGTCCAGCAATATCAGCTGTTGAACTTATGAATCAAAAAAAGCAGTATTCCACTGTGGATCAGTCCAACTATTTGGAAAATAATTTGGAAATGTTAGGTTGAGGATGTGCAGATTTAATAACTCAGAGATTCTATTGGTAGAGAGTGTATAAGAGACCCACAACTGTTCATATCAGCTCAGTAATAGTTACAGAAAACTGGAATCCGTCTCCATGTCCACCGGTAATACAATGGATGAATGGGTGTGGTAGATTTGTGAGGTGGAGTCCTACAGTAATAAAAATGAATGAATTATGTCAATATGGGTGAATCTCAGGAAAACAATATCGAGCAGAGAAAAAGTGACAGTGTAATATAGTAAGTATGATTCTTATAGAAGGCTTAAAACTTGCCACTCTACATGATATATTGCTTAGGGACACACTCATTTTTAAAAATTATAAAGAAAATACGGAAATGATCAAGATAAAATTCAGGATAGTGGTTACCTATAAGCCAGGAGCACAGGGTACTTCAAAAGTAAAAGACTTTTTTTGTTTTTCCTTTTGAAATGGGATGGTGCATACATAGGGGTTCATTGTGTTGTTATTTACACATGTTTCATACCAACCCAGTGCTTAAAAACATACATTATAGAAGACTGATAAGGGACTGAGACTTTTTGAAGGAAGGACCGACTGAGAGGTTGGAGAGGTGAAGGGAAGCCAGCAGTGGGATCTAAGGAGAGATGGAGGTAAATTAAGATATTTCAGACTCTTGGAAGAATTTCACATATGCATGTAACACACATGCACACAAAGGGTGACTGTTATGCTGCACTGGAATCAAGAAAAGTGAGGATTGACAATGATTACTGCGTTTGTCCAGAGGTCATTGATAGCCTTTAGGGCTTTGATTTTGCCAGAGCTGCGGAAATGGAAGCCTTTCTGAAAATTTCAGAATTAATGTGGATGAATACATGTGGCAGTTCATATCAACAGATAATTCTCAGTGCTTTTGAATGAAAGAAAGGAATAAATAGAAAGGTTAAGAATTTTTCAAAAGTTTGACAGTGGAGAGAATGGAGGAAGGGTAAGGGAAAATCATTCTGGAGAAAGGAAGAGAAGGTTAGTCTGGTACTTAGGGCTAAGGAGTTGGAAAAGGATGGGATCTTTATTTAAACGAATTCACTGTCAATACTGATGCACTGCAAGGTCTAGAGAATGAGATGTAGACCCTCACTGGTGGGCATTACAGTGAAAATTATCAACTAAATGGTCATACTACAAATATTTTCTAGTGTATTCTTTTTTTAAAAAAGATGTATTCAAAATCTGTTAATTTGGAAAAGGAATAAAGACACTTCTCTTGCCTCTAGAAACCTCTGTTTCAGTCTCTGCTCAGAATTTGTCAAATAGCTTATAAATAGGAAAAGAATGGCTATGTTATTGATGTTTAGAAAGAATTCTCCCAAGTGCTACTCTCTGTAAGTTGTTCTTGAACTGCACCATCATTTATGGCTGATATTTGGATAAGCAACACTGTGGGGAGGGTATGCAGTATTTGAATACGTTTATGAGTTCCTAGTGGTAATGTTTTTCAATTTGTCATGTTCCCTTCCTCTCAACCAACTTCACTTCTCCATCCCCTCATCATCTTAAAAAAAGAGAGAGAGGGCCAGGCAAGGTGGCTCATGCCTTTAATGCCAGCACTTTGGGAGGCCGAGGTGGGTTGATCACCTGAGGTCAGGAGTTCAAGACCAGCCTGGCCAACATGGCGAAACCCCGTCTCTACTAAAAATACAAAAATTAGCCAGGCATGTTAGCACATGCCTGTAATCTCAGCTATTTGGGAGGCTGAGGCAAGAGAATCATTTGAACCTGGGAAGCAGAGTTTGCAGTGAGCCGAGATTGTGCCACTGCATTCCAGCCTGGTCAACAGAATAAGACTCTGTCTCAAAAATAAATAAATAAATAAAAAGAGAGAGGCTCTATATAGTTTAAAATTTAAGTATTGGCTGGGCATGGTGGTTCACACCTGTAATCTCAGCACTTTGGGAGGCCACGGTGGGAGGATCACTTGAGCTAGGAGTTTGAGACTAGTGTCTACAAAAATAAATAAAAATAAAAAAATAAAATTTAAGTATTTAAAACAAAAAAAATCTAAATTAGCAAATTTTAATGTTACGTTTTAATTCTTTGGGAAGTGAAGATGCATATGTTGCATTTTTCCAGTCAAGGTACATGGACAGCAGAGAAGATGAACAGATCCGAGGGATCACTATGAAATCCAGTGCCATTTCACTACATTATGCAACAGGTTAATCAATCTGTTTTACAGAAACAGAGCTTTGCATCGTTCATGTCCTCCTCTCTCTTTCTGAATTAACTGCATGCCGCAGTTTCTTTGCTTATATTCTACATATTTTATTCTGGCCTTTACACATGATCTGTTGTCAGAGTCATGCTGTCCAGGCTTGGAAGCAAATGGAAACCTCTGACTGGCTTGAGGGCAGAAGAACTGGCAGTTCACACTGGCCCCCTCCACCAGGTGCTTGTATGGATTTCTTCACAAGGAAAGTCAGGAGCCCTAGGCCTTTAGCTGGTTCAGCCCTACTATTCTGCCTCATGGCCTAGCCTGCATGTTAGATTTGGAGTCTTACTTACTTAAAAGTAGACTGGCATGATCAGGACTAGCTTGCTATCCTCAAATGAGGATGCTACTTCGATAGTAACACTTCTAGGAATTTATCTGACAGAAAGAGTCATGTCAGTGTGTGAGATACATGTCACTGATATTCACTAAAAAGTTTGTATTCGTGAAAAAAATACCAACAACCTCAATGTCAGTAGGAGAATAGTTAAATAAACTGATACATCCAAGCTGTGAAATACTGTGCAGCTGTTAAACCTACTGTTTAATATATATGTCATTGTATAGGGAAGAATGGTATGTTAAGACACAGAAAATGCAGACTATTTTTGTAAGATATGAATGTGTTTGGGTAATAAAAATATATATGCAGATAAAGGTGTCTGGAAGGATACTTACCAAACCTTTAACAGTAGCTCTCTGCAGGGGCTATGATTATGGGAAAACTTGCACTTTTCAAAATATTTATTTTTGTAGTATTTGAAAATTTTACACAAAATGTGTATTCTTATAATTAGAAGAAAATAATAAAGATATATTTTATTTCCCTAATGGACTTACCTGTGGTTCATCCTTCACAAGTGTCGTATCTTTGGCATTGCCACCAAAAGACGTACTCTGTGGGGCATGGCTGTTGTGCCAAACCAGTTTTGAAGTTCTTAGGCACATGAATTCTCAATGTTTAATGTTTAAAGTAACACTTCATTTAAAAAAAAAAAAAATTCTCACATTTTAAAGGGTATGTTCTCTTCCTGTAATCCAGAGAATGGGGTTGAGGGTCTATTGATTTATCTCATTTTATAGACTTCAAGAGATTTGTAGGCTGCCTTCCTCCTTACCCAGATTATTAGTCTGTTTTTATTTGAAGATTCCTCTGGTGTCAGTTTTAGTTGTTCTGCTCTATACTTTCTCTCTAGTCCCCCTCCCCTGAGTCCTTTAACCACTTTGTTAAGGTTTAATTTATATACCATAAAATTCACCCACTCCAATTCACATTTGTCTTTCTGGTGTAGTATTGTAGAAGAATTTGCTATAGGACCCTGGGAATCGAATGGTCTGAACTCTAATTTTGTTGAGCTCTGTGATCTTGGCTGCTCACAGATTGTTTTAGGTACACTTTTTTTTTTTTTTTCTTTTTTAAGAGATGGAGTCTTGCTCTGTCACCCAGGCTGGAGTGCAGTGGTGCTATCTCGGCACACTGCAGCCTCTGCCTCCCGGGTTCCAGTGATTCTTCTGCCTCAGCCTCCTGAGTAGCTGGCATTACAGGCGCATGCCACCACACCTAGCTATTTTTTGTATTTTTAGTAGAGATGGGGTTTCACCATGTTGTCCAGGCTGGTCTCGTCATGACCT